ACCCCTGACCTAACCAATCCTCACAATACTAAAATCGGGTTACTGATACCGACTCTACCCCTCCACCGCTTTATCCAAAACCAAAGAAATGAAAAGGTTTTGGCAGAAGATGGACTTTCATTTGTTTTCCTACCAGGATACATTTTTCAATAATGCACAAATCACCTTACAACCTTTTTCTGGGCAGAGGTAAGGCTTCGGCTAAAAATGGAACAGGGACAATGGCGGGAGGGAGGGACAATGGCGGGAGGGACAATGGCGGCGGTCATAAAACAGTTTATTTGTCTAATGCAGCGTAGGAAACCATTTTATTGGCTTGGCCATTGGAAGGCTTTCTATAAGCTTCAGCCGCGGCCTCGTCTGAAAAAAACAACACAAAAAACAACAAGAAAGCTGCGTCATGACTCTTCCCGGAGCCGGGTATAAAACAGTTAATTAGGCAAGGACTCAGCGGAGAGAACTGCAGCGCCATCAATTCCGGCAGAACGCGGACAATGGGATGTCAGGGAACAAGGATTTTTTTTCTCCTCCTCTTCTCTATTACAAAAATTTCGAAGGGTGGGATAAACCGTGCGGGGAGGGCAGCACAGAAAAGAGAAGAAAAAAAAAACGCAAAGTCAGACATTTCGCCCACACATGCCGCGCCTAATTTTCATTGGCCGGGGATCCGCCACATTCTCCGCGTCCAGAAACACAGCTCAGGATGGAAAGTATACCGACTCGTTTACCCTGACTGTCAAACTTTTCCATGCCTGAGAGATTATGACCCCCAGATCGGTCCCCACACTGCGCACGCCATGACGTCCGCCCGTGGATGAATGAGCATCTAGACCCGAAACAAAAAAAATGTACATCGTTTGAGGGGGAAACCCAAAAAAGAACCGCATCTGTCGTGTCTGTTGTGGTTTATTATACTTTCCAAATGAACACAAAGTAAAAAAAATATATATATATATCTAGCAATACACACCAAACTGAATATGTGCATGTGGTCAAGGGTTCAGTCTGTATCAGGTGGTCATTTCAACAAGAGGAGGGGCAGAGAAGACAGGATCAAACAGCATTTTTACACAATGCAGAGGATTAACCCCTTAGGTTCCACAGTGAGTATAACCAGCATCCTTTACTGCATCTACAGACTGATTGTACTTTTGTGGGTTTAGGAACACTATAAATATCTGGGATACGCTGGGAATCAGTGGATGTAATAGATCCAGAAAACGCATCAAAAACGCAATGTGCTGAAATTTAGCGCAAAGCATTAAAAACCACGCTAAACGATTTCATAAACCGCACACAGTGTTTTTATATGCTATAATGCAAAACGGCCCTTATGTGACTGAAATGATCAAAAATGCTGTCACATGGTGTATTTTAAGACATATTCCATCTTTGTAAAAATAAATAAATAAAAAATAAATAAATATATATTTAGACAGGAGCCAATTCACCTCCCAGCATGTCTTTGGAGTGTGGGAGGAAGCCGGAGTACCCGGAGGAAACCCACGCAGGCACAGGGAGAACATGCAAACTCCAGGCAGGTGGTACCGTGGTTGGGATTCAATCCAATGACCCGAGTACTGCCAGGTGGAAGTGCTAACCACTTAGCCACTGTGCTGCCATAGATATATATATATATATATATTTTTTTTTTTATTTATTTTTTTTAATATATCTACACTGTATGTTTATATGTGTGTATGTAAAATTATTTTTTAAATATATATTATATATGTAATTTCAAAAAATATTTTACATACACACATATATACATACAGTGTAGATATATTAAAAAAAAATAAATAAATAAAAAATAATTTTTATTATATTATATATATATATATATATATATATATATATACACACACACACACACATCTATGGGCAGCACAGTGGCTAAGTGGTTAGCACTTCCGCCTGGCAGTGCTAAAAAAAAAAAAAATAATAATTATATATATATATACACGGTATATATATATATATATATATATATATATATTCTTTTTTTTGTGTGTGTCTGTATGTAAGGTCATGATTGAAATATATATTTTTACCTCCGGTTTCTGTAAAGGGGTGGTGCTTATAGGGGGGGGGGCTATTTACCTCCTGTTTCTGTAAAGGGGTGGGTGGTGATTCCGGGGGGGGGCAATTTACCTCCAGTTTCTGTAAAGGGGGGGTGTTTCCGGGGGGGGGGGGGCAATTTACCTCCTGTTTCTGTAAAGAGGGGTGTTTACGCGGGGGGGGGGGGGCAATTTACCTCCTGTTTCTGTAAAGGGGGGGTGTTTAAGGAGAGGGGCGGCACTGTGTTTCATGCTAAACTCTGTATGAAAGCAACATGACACATTGGGGGGGTTTTTTTTGTTTTTTTACTGCTAAAACTGCATGGTGTAAAGCACGGTGCAGCTCTGCATAGGAACCAATCAGCTTCCAGGTTTTATTGTTAAAGTTTAACTGAACCAGCAGAAGTTAGAATCTGATTGGCTGCCACGCACATCTGCCCAGGTTTTGAGTGCTCCAGTTTTAGTAATTCCCCCCCATAGTATGAAAGATGGAATTATCCTCTGACTCCGGATCAGACGCTCAGCGTTGGGTTTCCATACCTGCGACAACATTGCTGACCGTTTGAGAAAAGCTAGTTGCCTGGCTGGCTCCCCGGCTTCTACCCAAACCCAGAGCATGGAATCCATCCCCGGCCAGCCAAGTGAAAAGTCCTGATCCGAGTGCTTTTTCCAGCTCAGTGAATCAGAAACTATGAAAGCAGGACCTGCAAGTCTGCCAGACTGGGACCGTCTGCCCGAAAAATAAAACATTAACTCTCTGTCTGCAGTCTCTAATCCATGTGAAATGCCCACAAGGCTCCCAGGAGGCGGAGATCCGGGTGATTTTGGCGACATGAAGGCCTTTCTTCGCTCAGGTGGCCTACCAGATGGGCTTCTGATGGTGACTACAAGGAGCTGTTTTAAATGCACATTACACAGGAATGTTCTGCTGTTGTCACCAAATGAGCCGCCTTATCCTCCGTTCACACCAAAGAGTTTCCTGCTGCAGAAACGCAGTACAGTCCATTTCACATGATTTCCTACGGGACATGTTCACACCTGTGCATTTTCACCCCGTGCGTTTTTTGGAAAGGGCCAGGGGCTTTTTTTTAATGCAAAAAGTTGTGTTTTGAGTTCTATAGACTTTAATGGAAACAGAAAAGTATGTATTGTGTTTTTGCTGCATTTTTTTACGCATTTTAAATCTGCCTAGCAACAAGAAAAATTAAAAAGAAAGAAAAAACACAAAACGAGTCAAAAACGCAAATGCAAAACGCAATGCAAAAATAGCTCAAACGCAACCTGTATAGGAGTGAACCTAGCCTTATGCAGGGGAAGACAATGCAAGAGCCTGCGCATCGCACCTGCGACCATGGTTGTAATGCTCTGCAGACTTAAACGCAAAAAAAAAAAAAAAAAAAAAAAGGTACATGCATATTAATCATAAGATCAGTGTTGCTGCATTTACTACTCTTTGGACTAGCAGCGACTTTTACATACCATTGGTGTACATTTGCGAATATAGTGAATCAGGCAGGCTGGATAGTGAATGCGGGGTATGTGAATGCGGGGTCCGGGGACAGCGGATACAGTGAACGCGGGGTCCGGGGGACAGCGGATACAGTGAACGCGGGGTCCGGGGACAGCGGATACAGTGAACGCGGGGTCCGGGGACAGCGGATACAGTGAACGCGGGGTCCGGGGACAGCGGATACAGTGAACGCGGGGTCCGGGGACAGCGGATACAGTGAACGCGGGGTCCGGGGACAGCGGATACAGTGAACGCGGGGTCCGGGGACAGCGGATACAGTGAACGCGGGGTCCGGGGACAGCGGATACAGTGAACGCGGGGTCCGGGGACAGCGGATACAGTGAACGCGGGGTCCGGGGGACAGCGGATACAGTGAACGCGGGGTCCGGGGACAGCGGATACAGTGAACGCGGGGTCCGGGGACAGCGGATACAGTGAACGCGGGGTCCGGGGACAGCGGATACAGTGAACGCGGGGTCCGGGGACAGCGGATACAGTGAACGCGGGGTCCGGGGACAGCGGATACAGTGAACGCGGGGTCCGGGGACAGCGGATACAGTGAACGCGGGGTCCGGGGACAGCGGATACAGTGAACGCGGGGTCCGGGGACAGCGGATACAGTGAACGCGGGGTCCGGGGACAGCGGATACAGTGAACGCGGGGTCCGGGGACAGCGGATACAGTGAACGCGGGGTCCGGGGACAGCGGATACAGTGAACGCGGGTCCGGGGACAGCGGATACAGTGAACGCGGGGTCCGGGGACAGCGGATACAGTGAACGCGGGGTCCGGGGACAGCGGATACAGTGAACGCGGGGTCCGGGGACAGCGGATAAGTGAACGCGGGGTCCGGGGACAGGATACAGTGAACGGGGTCCGGGGACAGGGATACATACAGTGAACGCGGGGGTCCGGGGAGAGCGGATACAGTGAACGCGGGGTCCGGGGACAGCGGATACAGTGAACGCGGGGTCCGGGGACAGCGGATATAGTGAACGCGGGGTCCGGGGACAGCGGATACAGTGAACGCGGGGTCCGGGGAGAGCGGATACAGTGAACGCGGGGTCCGGGGAGAGCGGATACAGTGAACGCGGGGTCCGGGGAGAGCGGATACAGTGAATGCGGGGTCCGGGGAGAGCGGATACAGTGAACGCGGGGTCCGGGAGAGCGGGATACAGTGAACGCGGGGTCCGGGGGGGAGCGGATACAGTGAACGCGGGGTCCGGGAGAGCGGATACAGTGAACGCGGGGGAGTCCGGGGAGTGAACGCGGGTCCGGGGAGAGCGGATACAGTGAACGCGGGGTCCGGGGAGAGCGGATACAGTGAACGCGGGGTCCGGGGAGAGCGATACAGTGAACGCGGGGTCCGGAGAGAGCGGATACAGTGAACGCGGGGTCCGGGGAGAGCGGATACAGTGAACGCGGGGTCCGGGGAGAGCGGATACAGTGAACGCGGGGTCCGGGGAGAGCGGATACAGTGAACGCGGGGTCCGGGGAGAGAGGATACAGTGAATGCGGGGTCCGGGGAGAGCGGATACAGTGAATGCGGGGTCCGGGAGAGCGGATACAGTGAATGCGGGGTCCGGGGAGAGGGGGTCCGGAGGAGATACAGTGAATGCGGGGTCCGGGGAGAGCGGATACAGTGAATGCGGGGGTCCGGGGAGAGCGGATACAGTGAATGCGGGTCCGGGGAGAGCGGATACAGTGAATGCGGGGTCCGGGAGAGCGGATACAGTGAATGCGGGGTCCGGGGAGAGCGAGATGGGTCCGGGGAGAGCGGATACAGTGAATGCGGGGTCCGGGGGAGAGCGGATACAGTGAATGCGGGGTCCGGGGAGAGCGGATACAGTGAATGCGGGGTCCGGGGAGAGCGGATACAGTGAATGCGGGGTCCGGGGAGAGGGGATACAGTGAATGCGGGGTCCGGGGAAAGGGGATATAGTGAATGCGGGGTCCGGGGACATAGTGAATGCGGGGTCCGGGGACCGGGGATATAGTGAATGCGGGGACCGGGGATATAGTGAATGCAGGGTCCGGGGAAGATATAGTGAATGCAGGGTCCGGGGAGAGCGGATATAGTGAATGCGGGGTCCGGGGACACGGGATATAGTGAATGCGGGGTCCGGGGACAGGGATATAGTGAATGCGGGGTCCGGGGACAGGGATATAGTGAATGCGGGTTCGGGGAGAGGGGATATAGTGAATGCGGGGTCCGGGGAGAGAGACGCGGATATAGTGAATGCAGGGTTCGGGGAGAGCGGATATAGTGAATGCAGGGTCCGGGGAGAGCGGATATAGTGAATGCGGGGTCCGGGGAGAGCGGATATAGTGAATGCCAGGACCAATCAGCTTCCAGGTTGTTTTGTCAAAGCTTACCTGAACAAACAGAAACTAGAAGCTGATTGGCTCCCATGCACAGGTGCACCAGATTCCAATTTTAGTAAATCCCCCCCAATCTGTACTTAATTTCAGTGGGGTCCATAGGGGGCATTAGGGATCTAATAGACCCCTGATACATCCATAAAGAGGACCTGTCACCTACACTATGCCATTACATGGGAGGCTATTAGCAAAAATGACAGCAGAAATCTACTCCCCTTTACTCCAGTGCCGCGGTGAGCTCCCTGACATCCGTGGCCATGTCTGCTTCCAGGTACCGGCCTGCATACAGAAAATACATGTTTGGGGGTTTTATCTAATCTTCGCGCCTAAAATGTACATTTTAATACGAATGCAGAAAAAAACGCAAAAAGCAGCTAAAAGGGTTAAAGAGCATTACATTGTTGCGATTCGATTTACAGTGTACATTGTCTGCTGGAACCCTTCGCAGAGGGAATATGTCCCCTTTTCGGTGAGCAGGTGTTTGATTTCCAGCTGATGTGACGATAACAGCGCAGCAGAAATCCTGCAACGCAGACAATACCGATCGTTTGCAGAGCAAACATCAGCTACCTGTCTTGTGACACCGATAAGACGCCGATGACACCATTTTGCTCGACGCCTCATCAAGTCACAGCGCTGCCCAGCCGGCAGACACCTGACACAAGGAGAGTCCTGGATTTATGCAAATGTGTCCCTGAACGACAGATGTGCAAAAACAAATCGATTTTCTTAGTGTGTGCCAGAGAGAACGATATCACCCACAGCAGAAGAGAGGAGTTGGAATACAGAAAAGAAAAAAAAAAAAAACAAAAACCTGACACCGATCCATTTTAATATCTGCTGCTATTGGCTCATTCACACCAGCACAGTTTGGATGCATTTTGCCAGCACATTCCCAATTAACAAGGCAAGTTTTAAATGCGTGCTGTGTGGGTGAATAGCTGGTTGCTAAGGACACTGGCGGGTGCCGGCTCTGCCATTCACTTGTTGTTAAGGACGCCAACGGGTGCCGGCACGGCCATTCACTGGTAGTTAAGGACGCCAGCGGGTGTCAGCTCTGCCATGCGCTGGTTAAGTAACTGACACCTGCTGGCATCCTTAACCAGCGAATGGCAGTGCCAGCACCCGCTGGCGTCCTTAACCAGTGTATAGCAGAGCCGACACCCGCTAACATCCTTAACAACCAGTGAATAGCAGAGCCGGCACCCGTTGACATCGTTAGCAATCAGTGAATAGCAGAGCCAGCACCCGCTGACATCCTTAGCAACCAGTGAATATCGCCAGCACCCGCTGACATCCTCAACCAGTGAATAGCAGAGCCAGCACCCGCTGACATCCTTAGCAACCAGTGAATAGCAGAGCCAGCACCCGCTGACATCCTTAGCAACCAGTGAATAGCAGAGCCAGCACCCGCTGACATCCTTAGCAACCAGTGAATAGCAGAGCCAGCACCCGCTGACATCCTTAGCAACCAGTGAATAGCAGAGCCAGCACCCGCTGACATCCTTAGCAACCAGTGAATAGCAGAGCCAGCACCCGCTGACATCCTTAGCAACCAGTGAATAGCAGAGCCAGCACTCGCTGACATCCTTAGCAACCAGTGAATAGCAGAGCCAGCACCCGCTGACATCCTTAGCAACCAATGAATAGCAGAGCCGGCACCGCTGACATCCTTAGCAACCAGTGAATAGCAGAGCGGGCACCTGCTGACATCCTTAGCAACCAGTGAATAGCAGAGCGGGCACCTGCTGACATCCTTAGCAACCAGTGAACAGCAGAGCCAGCACCCCACCCCGACATCCTTAGCAACCAGTGATTTGCAAAGCCGGCACCTGCTGACATCCTTAACCAGTGAACAGCAGAGCCAGCACCCCGACATCCTTAGCAACCAGTGATTTGCAAAGCCGGCACCTGCTGACATCCTTAACCAGTGAATAGCAGTGCCGGCACCCATGCACCTATGCATGTGCAGTTGATGCATTTTGTAGCGCATTTTCCAGTGTATTTTTCATTTTTTCACGCACGTTTCTAATGCATTTTTTAGGGAAGTGTTGGGATGTTGCTAGAAGGAAGTGTCTGTTGTCATGCAGGAAAATGCACCGATAATGCATGTACATGCATTTTTCATGTGTTGTTGATGTGAGTCTATTAAAGTCTATGGAGCCTTACACGTACCATGCACCTTTAAAAAAAAAATGCCTTGCAGAAAACTGCAAAGATGTGAACAGAACCCATAGGAAATGAGGTCAAATGGATTGTAGTGTGTTTCTGTGGATCTGCAAACAATAAAAAAAAAAAAAAAAAAAAAAAAAAAAAAAGACGCATAGACGTGAACCGCGCCTAAAGCCCGACTTCAGCCGTGTCACATTTTTACTGCCATCGGGGTCCCCTCTGAAGGTGATTTCCCATCACTTTCTACCAGGAAGTGAGGGAATTCCTTCCAATGGGGACCCAGATAAATACAATGACGGTTCCTCAGATAATTGCCTCTACGTTGTTCCACACGAGGCGGTCCCCGGGCCGGCCCTCAGGCACACAGCAACGAACAATGTGGAGGTTTTGCACCACATCCTGCAGAATGTATAATTAACACCCAATCCAGGACAGAAGTCTTCCACCGGAATCCAAAAATACAGAACATAATACGACGGTAAAAGTGGAGGAAAATCATTAGACGGTGAAAGTCGTTTGGGATTATATAAAGAAAACAATGACATCCCGCGTGCTTCACATTCGTCTTCATTTAGTCAGGGTTCTACACACGGGAGGTCTGGGTTTTTTCTTCAGTTCAGTCATGTTTTTTCAAAGAACAAACAGATGCGTTTACAACTAGTTTTCCATCTATTTTTATCCTTTTACATCTGTTTTTTTTTTTCATCCATTTACATCCGTTTTTTCATGTTTTTATCCTTGTACATCCATTTTTTCAACCGTTTATATCCATTTTTGCACGTTTTTATCCTATTACATCCATTTTTCATCCGGTTACATCCATTTCCATCCGTTTTTTTTACCCATTTCCATCCATTTTTATCCACGTACATCCATTTTTCATCCGTTTAGATCCATTTACATCTGTTTTTCATCCGTTTTTATCCTATTACATCTGTTTTCATCCATTTTTTATCCTTTTATATCCATTTTGATCCATTTACATCCGTTTTTATCCCTTCACATCCGTTGCTTTCCATTTTTCATCCATTTATCTGTTTACATCAGTTTTGATCCATTTACATCCATTTTTCACCTGTTTTTATCCTTTTACATCCGTTGTGATCTATTTTACATCCGTTGTGATCTATTTTACATCCGTTTTTTATCTGTTAACATCAGTTTCGATCCATTTGTATCTGTTTTTCATTCATTTTGATCCATTTACATCCTTTTACATCCGTTTTTGATCCTTTTACATCCGTTTTTTTTGATCTGTTTTTATCCTTTTTCATCTGTTTTTATCCTTTTACATCTGTTTTTTTTCATCCATTTACATCCGTTATTTCATGTTATCCTTTTACATCCATTTTTCATCCGTTTACGGCAGTTTTTCATCCGTTCCTCAATAGAGGGCAGGTGAGACATCAAGGGTCTTTTAGATCCATAATGTCTTATTAAAAACAGAACCTGCCACCAAAAAAACAATCACACAGCAAACTTTTTGTCCTATATATGATAAAAAAAAGTTTAGCGAAAAAGAAAATTTTAAAAAGTATAAAAAAAATTAAAGTTACACCCAAGCACTTGAACCCTACCACCCCAAATTTTTAATTCCCCAACATATGCAAAGGTACAAAAATGTAAATAAATGCATCAAGGTGTCGATGCGCAAAAAAAAAAAATCGATTGGGACACTTTTACATAGATAGTCACACGTCCATCTAGTTCAACCATGTTACATATCACCATGCATGTCGGAGTGGGAGCAATAATTCTAGGGCCATTATTAGAAGAGGAGGAGCCGGTACGCCCGTGCAACAGCGACGGGGAGGAGCCGGTACGCCCGTGCAACAGCGACGGGGAGGAGCCGGTACGCCCGTGCAACAGCGACGGGGAGGAGCCGGTACGCCCGTGCAACAGCGACGGGGAGGAGCCGGTACGCCCGGGCAACAGCGACGGGGAGGAGCCGGTGCGCCCGGGCAACAAACAGCGACGGGGAGGAGCCGGTGCGCCCGGGCAACAGCGACGGGGAGGAGCCGGTGCGCCCGGCAACAGCGACGGGGAGGAGCCGGTACGCCCGTGCAACAGCGACGGGGAGAAGCCGGTATGCCCGTGCAACAGCGACGGGGAGGAGCCGGTACGCCCGCGCAGGAATGGCCAGGGTTCTGCTATAAAATATGTTTTATAATAGGTTTATTGTTTAATAACAAAATATTCCATGAAGCGTGAAATCTACCTGTGCCATCCGAGCCACAAACATTGTGCAGCACATAATGAGATTAGAAGTCCATTAAAGACATGAAAGTCGTACAAAACAAAGCGTCTCGCCAGCACAATCCGCAGCACCGCTCTGCCAAGCTGGCCGTCCTCAGCCCAGAGCCGGGCCGGTTCTCATAGTCCTCATTGTTCACACACGGGTGACTCCATAACATGTTGTTGATCGGTGACCCCCGCCCCCCCAAAACACACACACAAGCACTCAGCACCATCCCAACAATTTGCCACCAGCTGGGTGCAGAACAAGGCCGGGGGATGGGAAAGTCTCCCTTTTCCTGGCCCTAAGGTGGCCAGACAAGTTTTGCTCAGAGGGTTTAAAGTTGACTTGTCTGTAGTGAAAGGGTCAATAGAGCCTCCTATGCAAACACAGAGGACCAGATGCAAATCCCATCAAACCTGCCAGAGGCCCCGGTGTCTACACAACCATTAAAGGGCACCTGTCACCAGAGCAAGAAACTCTCTGGGTTGGACACATAGCTACTAGGGACGCATCGGTGCCGGTACCGA